TACTACTTTAGTGAGGCAGAGTGCACACAGGTATTATTAGCTGCTCTTAAGAATGGTGCTTTTTACTTTGAGTAGAAAATCCAAATTAATCTTTCCGTATCAAAGGCTTTTATGTTTAATTGAACTATTTCCATTCAGTCTTTGTTGATCAGAACCAGTTCTTTGGGCTTCACATAACCTTATTTTTGGAGTACACAGTGAAGGAAAACAAGTGTCTTGAGACTTGCTTTGATGTTCAGGATGGGCAGCTAAATCTGCCCCAAATGCTGTAGCTCTTTGTGTTCCTTGTGAAGTGCAGGATTAGGGGGATCATATAACGCCCAGTGCAGGATGAGAAGCTGCCTTTGTGCAGGTCTCTCAGATGCCACATACTTAGCAAAAATAGAATCTTTCCCTTTATTTCTGGTCAAGAAGGACTTTGAACATTTTTTTATTGAAGTTGCAGAAATGAAACCCTGAGTTGCTGTGGTAGACTGGTTTTATGATCAATAAGTCACCTTCTTTGACCAGATAGCTTCGTCAGCTTGTCTGCTGAATGCCAGCCCTGCCCCTTTCTGTTTGACAGTTTGAGGGATGGGGACAACAGCTTGTGGGTGTGACACTGACTGGAGTCTGGGAAATGGAGCAGCAACAGGACTCTCCTGTCCCTGGTAACTGAGATGATTTCCCCGCCTGTTTGCTTAGGTCTCACCATGAAAGGCAAAACCATGCTGACAGATTCTGTTGAAGTCCAAAAGATCGTTCTGTTGTTCTCCCCAGTTAGCAGCCTTCAAGTCACTCGTGAATACTCATTTTCAGGGAAAGGCAGGAATGGGGGAGGTAATACTTATGAGCTAAGTCTGATGAGTAGAGGAAAATAGGGGAGCAATCCAAAAGCGAATACAAGATACAAGATGGATCCATCAACAAAGACTTTTTGAGCACTTACTAAGTGTCCTGCCTTAGTAAAGATGTATAACAACACATCTTTAAAATTGGATGATGGTGGGGTATTTGTTCCTCATTACCTATTGAAATTTCTTTCAAATTAGAAATAGAAACATCATCCTTTGAGAAATCGACATGTACAATGTCAAAGGTACAGTTAGATGAGGAAGTTAATTCATTTGTTGCGGCTGGACTCTTTAAGGTGTTAGCCGGGAAGCACACAGTGCTGGCACAGAGCAAAGCCACAGTACATGGAGATTTTACTCTTCTTATATTGATTTCTGAACATTTGTGTTGTGTCCAATCCCAAGTAAATAGAACGGCCTGTAGTGAACTGCAGAATGACATGCAGCCCCACTGGGCATTTTAAATGCCTGTGAAGAAGGATAAAGTCTTGGAAGCAGCATGGAAAATCTGGGGCGTCCTCACGCCTGGAAAATATCCTCTCACCAAAGCTAGCCAGGAGCAGAGGCAGAAACAACAGAAAGCAACTCTTCATTGCCAGTGCCCAGGAATCTCCAGGCATCAGTGTGCTTAAGAACCACTCCTCTTCTTAGTCATGTTTTTACCTGCGTATGGCACAGGTTGTTCAATCTTCTTTAGAGATACGATTGGTTCTCTGCATCTACAGATACAACCAACCATGGGTCAAAAATACTCCGGAAAAAAAAAAAAAAAAAAAAAACAATTAAAAAAAAAAAAAGGCAGGTGCTTTGGCACAGCAGGTTGAATCGCTGTTTGAAATACCCACATCCCATACTGGAGGACTTCCATGTGAGTCCTGCCTCTGCTTCTGATTCCAGCTCTCTGCTAATGCACACTCTGGGAGGCAGCAAGAAACAGTTCAAGCACTTGGGCCCCTGACATCCATGGGGGAGACCTGGATGAAGCTGCAGGCTGCTGCCTTCATCCTGGCCCAGCCAGAACTATTGTGAGTATTTGAGGGTAAAGCAGTGGAAGGAAAATAGCACCCTCGTTCAGTCTTGCTCCACCTTTGAAATAAATAACAAACATATTTTAAACTGGCTGTAATAAATATAATACAAATATTAAAACAATACAGTACATCTGTTTACTTGGCATTTCCATCGTATTAAATATTTCATATAATCTATAGATGATTTATTTAAGCATAAAGGAGGATGTGTAAGTGCAGGTTATATGCAAATATTACTCTGTGAATATAAGGGATGTGTGCATCTGTGGATTTTACTATCCACAGGGGTCCTTGAATCAGTCTCCTGTGGAAGCTCAGGGATGACTGTGTGTCTAATTTTACACTTAGACCCTCTCATGTGCTGTCTCTACTTTTCAGAAACCTTGCCTTGCAGTTAACTTTAATGGAATGCATTTATTCCGTGAAGTAGAAAGGAGCTTATTGGAAAATGCAGTTCTCTCCCATGTGTTGAATTTCGTGGAGAAATATAAACGCCTTTGACAGAAAGGGAATTTGTGCCAATGGCACTGGGAAGCACATATTATAGAATTGCCAGCTGGGGACTCTCTCCTCATCTGTGGCTTCTGGGCAGTATGGTGCCACTGTGGCTCATTGGTGCCTTGGTTGGCCTTGTTAGCAGGAAATTTTCGACCCGTGCTTGTGGCAGCGGTAACACCTCACCTGCTGCGCCTTGTCCTGCTCCTTCCTCTGTCTTCTCTTCCTTCTCCTGCTGTTTGCTCAGGACAGATTGCAGAAGAATTGTCTCTCACCTTTAACTCCCACGTTCATGGTCATCAGCCCTCCAGTACTTTTCCCTAAGACAGAGCTTGTCAAATGTCTTTCAGATGTGAGACCCTTTCTTGGAACAGAAACACAACAAAGCCTGATACTGAGCATAGATTGACATGGGGCTGCGCTGGGTCATTGAGATGGGGACCTAGAGGCGTGTCTCCAGTTCTCGCCCACTGCTCACAGCACAGGTTCCAGAATCCAGAAAGCAAGTTGAAAACATTGTGTAGTGAAACATAGCCAAGTTTTTAAGAATCCATGGGGAAATAGCTCTTGCTCAGAATTTAAGTTCTTTTCTTAAGTGCCCATGGTGTATGCTGCCTTCTTACCAGGATCCTGTGTGTGTGTGTCCCAAGATAGTTGTATAAGTAAGATTTGTCGTGGTGAAAGAATGAGTTTACGAGGTAAAGTAGGGTCTTTGTCTTGATTCTGACTGTCCAAAACCCTCCCATATTGTGGCCACCCCTCGTTAGGGGAGAACCAGTCTGGGCCTAAGGATGTGAGCCATCCCTGATTCTGGGGTCCTCAGAGGCTGTCCTTTGGGGACAGTAGGAAAGGGAAAGCACAGAAGCCCCCTGAAGGGCAAGGAAACCAAACTGGTGAGGTCCAGAAACCAAAGTCAAGTGAAAGAGAGCGTGGACACAGGTGGAGAACAGAACGCAGAGCCAGGGCAGCATGCAAGGTCCCTCTGCAGCAGGGGCACAGGCAAGCGCAGTCCTCTCAGTTCATGGCCAGAGGATTGTTTTACTGCCCAGTTCTAACCCTGTGCTTCCACCTCTCCTTCCTCCAGGAAGGAAGCAGCTCCCGTGAGTGCTCTCACGCTCCCCTGCCTGACAGTGCACAGCCAGAGTGGGTGGAGCATGCAGTGTCTGGGCTGGCTTCTCGGGTCAGGACACTGGAGGGAGTGGTTCTCAGCTCCTCTCTGGCCCAGCACTCTGTCAGTCACGTTCACGTACCTGACACCCTGGCCAGATTTTGCCAACTCCCTCCCCTCTATGGGGCCACAGTGTTTGTGTGTGGGTTGCTACTTCTGAAAACACTGCACAGACCCCTGAGCAACTTGCCAAGGATCCATCAGCAGCGTAAGGCTCAGAGGGGCTTCAGGGCAGAGAAAACCAGGGGCACCCTCTCTCCACCCTGCCTCACGCTCAGGAAACTCTATTGATGTGAAAAGGTATCATCCTAGGCCGGCGCCGCGGCTCACTAGGCTAATCCTCCACCTGCGGCGCCAGCACCCCGGATTCTAGTCCCAGTCAGGGTGCCGGATTCTGTTTGGTCGCTCCTCTTCCAGTCCAGCTCTCTGCTGTGGCCCGGGAGTGCAGTAGAGGATGGCCCAAGTCCTTGGGCCCTGCACCCACATGGAAGACCAGGAGAAGCACCTGGCTCCTGGCTTCAGATCAGCGCGCTGGCCGTAGCGGCCACTGGGGGGTGAACCAATGGAAAAAGGAAGACCTTTCTCTCTCTCTATCACTGTCAAAAAAAAAAAAAAAAAAGTATCATCCTGAATCTGCTCAATTCTTAGCCAATGTGTGCCATAGCAATAATGTCCCCTGCCTCATAGTTGATACAGAAGATATTCTGTTTGCTTATCAATTTGAAGAATGCCAATAAGCTACATTTAAGGTCTGTTGTCCTGGAAGTCTTGAGATGAATTACAATATGGGTGGCTTTTAATTTCTTACTAGTTTTCACCTGTATCCAAAAAGAAATGACACTAACTTTAAAGCAGATGATAACAAAGCTCTTAAAATAAAAACATGAATGCTTAAATCTTACCTACATAAGAATGATGAAGCAAACGTAACAACTCTCCCGCCAGTAAAGTGACTGCGAGCACTATATTTAAGTTAGAACTTCCTGGTAACAAAAGAAAGAATGGAAACATGATGAAGAGAAACATACATGTTTCTTAAGAGAAAAACATTTTTCCAAGGATGGAGTTCTGGTTGTGTCACATGGCCATTGGATGTAAGGGACAATGCAATGAACAGCAGTTTTACAAAAATCACAGATGCACTATGTTGATAACCCTTGCTTGGACTGCACCCCTGTCCCACACAGAGTAGCTGTAATTTGCTTTGCAAAAAGCTATAGTCATCTCAGCAGATAGAGAGCCTCTAAAAGTTGGAGTGCACAGGAAGACTTGGGTAATTTTATTGCCAGAAGCTCATGTGTGTTCACCTGGCGCTTAGTGACATTCTGTCCATCTGCAGGCTGGTTGCAGCATAGACCACAGATTAGGTTTGGAACAGCCTGAGTTCTTATCAATTACGGCTAATATGCTTATTTCATTCCTGAAGCTACAGGATCGCCTACTGCTGATTTGACTTTTGAATCTCATTTTCAGGAGTTCTTTGGAATTTATCCTCGTGTGATGCCGTGAAGATGACAATCATCCGAGACGCCCTCTCAACCTTAACAAACACTGTGATCGTTCCACATTCTGGATGGAATAATTCTTCCTTCGATGATGATCATAAAATTAAATTTCAGACTTCACTCGTTCTGCGTAACACGACAGGTTGCCTGAGGTAAATTCTTGATTTCTTCTTCCCACTAATTCTGTGATTAAATATGTGTCATGGGTAAATTGATTTCAGGAAGACTTTATTTTGTTAACATAGCTTATGTTTCCCAGTTTTCTCTCACCATGGAGGCCACAGGCCTGTGTTACTCTGAGACATGAGCACAGCCCAGCGGCCTCTGGGACACCACCTCACATGGGTTACTCAGAAAGGCCCTTTCCAGTCTGAGATTTCTGCCACAATTCAGGGTCCTGCTTGAACAGCACTGCCCTGGTTATCGCATTCGGATTGCTAATGTGTTTGGAGCCTGGTTTTTGTTTACCTTCATAATGTAATAGTTAGAATGTCTGTGCTTTTAGAAGGGTGTAAGGAGTGGCTTCAACAGAAGTTTATTTTTAGTGACATAAATATGCAAAAACTAGAGCAAACACTATTTTTTTAATAGACTTTATTTATTTATTTAAAGGCAGCGTTACAGAGAGGCAAAGAGAGAGAGAGATCTTCCATCCGCTGTTTTACTCCCCAGGTGGCTGTAACCGCTATAGCTGCTCTGATCCTAAGCCAGGAGCTTCTTCTGGGTCTCCCACGTGGGTACAGGGGCCCAAGGACTTGGGCAATCTTCCACTGCTTTCCCAGGCCATTAGCAGAGAGCTGGATCGGAAGTGGAGCAGCCGGGACTCAAACCAGCGCCCTTATGGGATGCCAGCACTGCAGGCGGTGGCTTTACCCAATATGCCACAGCAACGGCCCCAAGCAAACACAATTTTTTCAGTCGTTACATGCAGCATTTAAAAGTATAAATCCTCCTGAACAAGTACACAGAACGGCTCACGGTTTGCCCTTCGCACGCATCAGCCCCACTTGCTCCGTTTCCCAGCCTCACTGTGTTGGATGGCAGGCTGCGTGGCCAGAGCCTCAGCGTCCTCGTGGTCAGAGCGGGGGCAGCAGAAGCAGCGGGGTCGTGAGGAGTCGTGGTGCCTGTGGAAAGTGCTTCGTGTGGTGTCACCGAGTGAGCACTCACGGAGCGCCGTTGAACATTTAAGCCAAGAGAGCTAACAGAGCTTGAGAGCGAGAGGCAGGGAGAGCCGTGAGGCCTGATCATCCCAAGTTGTAGCCTGTCATCCATGGGGAGGGATGGCCCTGCTCAGCCAGCCCACTAGACTGCTGGAGGGGCCCAGGGCAGGACACACCCCAGGCCCCTGCAGTGCGGAGGCCTGTGAGTGCCTTCCATAGGAGAGACACACTAGGTCCCTGCCCTGATAGAACCCCACATCACTGGGGAAGACAGCAGTTGCTGTGAAAATAAAGAAGGGCGTGGTTCCCTTGGTAGCCAGGTGGTCCCTCCAAGAGCTAAAACTTCAGGCTATATCTGTACTGAAGGCCATTTCTTTGTGGGTTGGAGGTCAGGAGCACAGCTGCTGTAGACCAAGACAACGGTGGCTGTAGAAGCTCTGGGGCAGGGACAGTCCTGCAGCTGTAGCTTAGTGGGCAAAAGACAGTGCGGAAGCAACTTATGCGGAGTTTTACAGATTGCAGGAAAGGAATTTGCATTTTATTGCAAGTACCCTGGGCAAGCCATCAGAGGGTGTTCAGAAGGGGAGTGATGGGACTGTCTCTGACTGGGATGTGGAAGAGGGAGTAAGGGCAGAAGTAGGGACTGGAAAACAAGGTTGTTGCCGTGATCCAGGCAGACGAGGGGCGCAGCTGAGACTAGGGAGGCAGATGGAGTTGTTTTTAGGAGGAAAAGCTGACAAGACTTGCTGATGAAGTGGAGACAATGGGCAAGGAACGAGGAGGACATACGGATAATGCCTGGATGTTGGGTTGAATGGACTTGAAGCTTCAGACAGAAGTCAGGGTGAGATCGCTGTTTGGTGGTCAGGGGTCATGGGTTGTGTTAAAGTCAGGAGTAGGTGGACTGAATAAGTGGACCAAAGCAGAGCCCCCAGGCACTCCTGGAGGAACCCACAGACAGACAGGGCTGGCTGGAAGAGGCAGGGACCACACAGGAGTGCACAGTCCCAGAAGCCCAGACACAGAGAGGAAACACACATGTGAAGAGGGACTTCAGGTGACAGTATCTTCCCAAAGTCCCTCCAGCAGCTCAGTTTATGAAGACAAGTTGATATCAAGAATTTCAATATGAGGGCCAGCAATGTGGAACAGCAGATTAAAGCCCCAGCCTGCAGCAGCAGCATCTCATTTAGGCACCTGTTCGAGTCTTGGCTGCTCCACTCCCGATCCAGCTCCCTGCTAATGTGCCTGGGAAAGCAGTGGAGGATGGCCCGAGTGCCTGGGCTCCTGCCACCCAGGTGGGAGACCCTGAAGAAGCTCCTGGCTTTAGATCAGCTCAGTGCCAGCTGTTACAGCCATTTGGGGAGTGAACCAGTGGATGGAAGACCTCTCTCTCCCTGTCAATACCTCTCTCTGTAACTGTCTTTTGAAAAATAAAATAATTTTTTAAAAAAAATTAAAAATAAAGAATTTCAATATGGATGAGACCCAAAACAATTTAATTGAAAAGATAAGAAAAATTTTCATGTAAGTAAAAGTCCATATTTAACTTTCAATTTTTATGGAAGAAACTGTATGTTTCTTCTTTCTGTTCAAAAAACATTTAATGATCACCTGCTGTATATAAACCATGATAAAGAATATCTGAGGGATGGATGCCGTGGCACAATAGATTAAGCTACTGCTTGGGATGCCTGCCTCCCCTATCAGAGCACCTGGAATAAAGTCAGCCTCACTTCCAGTCCATCTTCCTGCTAATGCACGCATTGGGAGGCAGCAGATGAGGGTTCAAGTGCTTGGGCTCCTGCTACCTGTGGGGGAGGCAAATGGAATTTCTGGCTCCTGGCTTTGGTTTGGCCCAACCCAGCCCTGGCTATTGTGGACATTTGGAGAATGAACAAGTACATGGAAGATATTCTCTCTCTCTCTCTCTCTCTCTCTCTCTCTTTCTCAAGTAAGTAAAAATAAACTTGTTTAGAAGCGTGTCTGAACACTGTACTTGGCTTACACATACAGTGTGTCGGGTGTGGCAGGCACTTTTCTCCTTTCTGTGTAGCAGTTCTGCTGCATAACCACACCCACCATGAGGTAGCTCCTACTGTGTTCCCTTTTTCACATGCAGAAGGTAAGGAGGATAAACTCTGATAATTCCACTGGGGGCTAGAAAGCGACACAACATGAGAAAGATACACTTAAAATTCAAATGCCAAGGCTCCCTTCTATCTGTGTGAGTTAAAGGGGAGCTGGCCATTGTGAGCTGTGGAGGTGTTAAAATGCAAGCCCCAGAATGCCCCCGCAAACCAAATCCGCAGCCGAGATCACTGTGGGAAGGCCTTGTGGCTACTGAGTACTTAGTCCATCTAGCAGCTGCCCCTGTCTCTACCTGTTCAGGAACCTGAGCTCCGCAGGGGAGGAGGCACGGAAGCAAATGCGGTCCTGCGAGGGGCTGGTGGACTCGCTGCTCTACGTGATCCACACATGCGTGAACACTTCCGATTACGACAGCAAGGTCAGTGCCCACCCAGCCGTGGAAGGGTGCCGTGGCAGCTGGCCAGAGCCACCTGAGGCACTGTCTGGCGTGCTGCAGATTCTTTTGGAGGGTTGGGGACTTGGGGACTTGAGAAAATAGCCTTCCAGCATGAGAAGAGCTTTGCTTCACTGGGTGTGCTTAGGGACCCAGCGCCAGGCCCTGGCTTCCTCTGTGGTTCTCCTAGGCTCATTCTTAAGGTGACGGCCCTGCTGTCCCCTCCTCTTGTTGTGTCCCCTGTTCCTGGAGGCACATCCATCTGTGTTTGCACTTTTGCTGAATAGAATCCCCAGTGAGGCACCCTAATCCCCTCCCGTTCTGCCATCCTTGCCCCAGGGCTGTGTACACAGCCCAACCCCGGCACCCACTCTTGTGGTCCCTCTCCATGTGCCCCTGCTGTTGCAGCCCTGCCTGTGAGCCTGTTCCCTCCCTGCCCACTGTTTTCCTCCTCCCCGCCTGAGCAGCACGGTCTGCTGACATCTGTCGGCTGTGACAGCCTTCCAGGATCTGCCCCAGAGCCTTCAGGGGGGAAGAGGCAGGGAGGATGTGGAAGTGTCAGGAGACCCAGCACAGGCTAGGTACCCGGTGTCAGGGTGGGCTGCATAAGAAGAGGCCATCAGTAAAGACAAGAATAATGAGGGGTGGTCTCAGGGAGGGTCTGGGGTGCAGTTCAGGGTGACAGCCAAACTTTTATTTGTGCTTTACCGAACCTGTGCATCTGCAGATGAAACCAAGTGAGAAAGGGAAGCTTGCTTAGGTGGGCAGACGCTGAACTTGGCTTTGGCTGTATCCAGGCTGAGCTGCAATGACAGTTGGCCTCCCAGTTAGGGGTGTGATACAAGCTGTAAGGAACAAAAGGCCATGTGCACAAGGCAAAATATCAGCTGAGTAAGAAATCACTGAACCTTCCTCAGAGTGAGGGGAGAGTTGGGAGGCTGAGGAGGAAATAGAAATGGGTCAAGGTGGAGGCTGCTGGCCCCTGCTGTCATGCTGCGGCTTTGCAGTGGTGAGGAGTGAGTGCATTCTGGGATAGCATAATAATACCACATCGCTGGTCAATTGGGTATCCCACAGAAACTCCAGAGTCTTAATTCTTTCCTTGGATTATTTTAGTTCCCTCTAAATAAAAGGTCACCCTTTCCTATTCTCCATCTGTTGCCTATCAGCAGCGTTCAGTACAGAAGCACTTTGCCATAGCGCACTGTGATGTTTAACTGCCCGCCGTGTTGGGTTTCAGACAGTGGAGAACTGCGTGTGCACGCTGCGGAACCTGTCCTACCGGCTGGAGCTGGAGGTCCCGCAGGCCCGGCTGCTGGGGCTGAACGAACTGGACGACCTGCTCGGAAAAGAGTCTCCCAGCAAAGACTCGGAGCCGAGCTGCTGGGGCAAGAAGAAGAAAAAGAAGAAGAGGACCCCACAAGAGGACCAAGTTAGCATCAAGTTTTATTTTTCTGGGAGTGAGAAATCACATAGTTGGCAAGGAAACAGTTTTCTGCAGGCCAGCAAAATGAATGTTTTCACGTGTTGGTCATTCTGCTCCCATGTCATGTGTGCCATTTGTCTTTCAGTGGGATGGAGTCGGTCCTATCCCTGGGCTGTCGAAGTCCCCCAAAGGGGTTGAGATGCTGTGGCATCCGTCGGTGGTAAAACCATATCTGACTCTTCTAGCAGAAAGTTCCAACCCCGCCACCTTGGAAGGCTCCGCAGGATCACTCCAGAACCTGTCTGCCGGCAACTGGAAGGTAGGATGTCGTCTGCTTGTCCGTGCTGCTCTCTCTCTTTGCAGCCAGGCCAGCCATGATTATGAAAGGGACACGGCTGTTTAGAGTTTGTCTGCGTGAATGAACAAGGAAACAAAAGGAGGCAAGCAGATGCTCTTGGAACCCAAGGATGTTAGCACCATGGTCCCGCCCTGTTCGAAGCAAACACTAGTGAGGAAAAGTACCAGGTAGAAGCCGGCGCCGTGGCTCAATAGGCTAATCCTCCACCTTGCGGCGCCGGCACACCGGGTTCTAGTCCCGGTTGGGGCGCCGGATTCTGTCCCGGTTGCCCCTCTTCCAGGCCAGCTCTCTGCTATGGCCAGGGAGTGCAGTGGAGGATGGCCCAGGTGCTTGGGCCCTGCACCCCATGGGAGACCAGGAAAAGCACCTGGCTCCTGGCTCCTGCCAGGATCAGCGCGGTGCGCCGGCTGCAGCGGCGGCCATTGGAGGGTGAACCAACGGCAAAAAGGAAGACCTTTCTCTCTCTGTCTCTCTCTCTCTCACTGTCCACTCTGCCTGTCAAAAAAAAAAAAAAAAAAGAAAAGTACCAGGTAGAACCCACAGGGTGGGTACTCTGTGAGAGATGACGTCCAGCCCACCCAGTACGGAGGGGGAAAGTCAGGGCAAGGAGGGCACAGGGGCTGAGGAAGATTTCCTCTAGAGGTGGTGCCACCCAAATTGGATCTATAAGGCCGGGTAAGATTAAGCCAGCAGAGTGTTAGGTTGGGCTTTCAAGGCAGTGATGTGTAGGAAAGGAATGATGAGAGAAAGGCCTGCAGTGAAGAGAGGGCAGTTGAGTGGAGTCCACAGGCTGGTCCCCAGGGTGTAGAATGTGAGATGGGGACTGGATCAGCTTCAAGCTGGACAGCAAGGACAGACCTGAATGCCAAGCTTCAGGAGCTGTGACCTGACTTACAAACAGAGGAGCCACTGAAAGGGCCTGGGCACACCAATGACAGACCATCGACATGGACACTGTTGGATCACTTGTATGGCAGCTTAAAAGGTGGAGTCCAGGATGGGGAGGACAGGGGCTGCGAGTCCCTGTGGGAGCCAGCAGAGCATGTAGGCAAGAGGTGATGAGGTCAGCAGCGCTGTGGATGCTTGCAGAGCCAGCATCTATCCGAAATGTCCTCGTCGCCTGTAGATGTGTGACTTTCTAAGTGCTGAAGTTGGTTTCCCATTGTTACCACTATAAGCAAGTTCTCAGAACTTCTTAAATGTCATTTGCCAGCTCCCTAGTCTATATCTGAAGCATTTTTAACCTCTAGAAGTATGCTGAGAAGAGTGTCTTGATAGAGCTATTGCAATGCTTGTTTCTGGCTCCTTTCCCTCAAATGAGAGTCTTGGCCACTGCATTATCCATGAGAGTTAAAAGTGTTGATAGGCCTGGCTATGGTTTGTTGCATGCAGATGTCTGCTAAATTGAATATATGCAGATAACTGTGGCCTAGTGCTAAGCCAATGTGCTTGTAACTGAAGTGTTTCAGTGCTGACTCTGGTGCCAGATGACGTGGCTCTGAGAACTGGCCCCTCTACTGACTAGCTAGAGGCCTCGGATCTCTGTGTCCTCGGTTTCCTCACCTGTAAGATAGAGTTTGTAAGAGTTCCTCCCATTAAATGAGGTAGTGAGTGTGGAGAATTCAGAATATTGGTGTTGTAGAACCCTGTCCACCAGAGAGGACTATTTGTTGATTATTTTAAACCCTAATGAAAATAGATGAGATTTCAGTTGTTGAGAATTGTTTTTCTATGGTCATACAGTTGAGTGGAAGCTATATAGAAAGATCATTTAAAACATAAATTGTGGCCGGCACTGCGGCTCAATAGGCTAATCCTCTGCCTGCGGTGCTGGCACACCGGGTTCTAGTCCCGGTCAGGGCGCCAGATTCTGTCCTGGTTGCCCCTCTTCCAGGCCAGCTCTCTGCTGTGGCCAGGGAGTGCAGTGGAGGATGACCCAAGTCCTTGGGCCCTGCGCCCGCATGGGAGACCAGGAGAAGCACCTGGCTCCTGGCTTCAGATCAGCGCGATGCACCAGCCGCAGCACGCTGGCCATGGCGGCCATTGGAGTGTGAACCAATGGCAAAAGGAAGACCTTTCTCTCTCTCTCTCTCTCTCTCTCTCACTGTCCACTCTGCCTGTCAAAAAAAAAAAAAAAAAAAACCATAAATTGTGGGATTTTCACCAAGTTCATGGAAAATGCAAATTATAGAAAAAATGGTGTGGATGTCAGAAATTTTGCACTAAAATAAGCTTATCTTTTAATTGCATTGTCCACAGACTTTCTGAAGTGTCCTTATCTATTTAAATGATTTCAAGAGTATCTAAAATAATGAGTTAAAATATTGGACTCTCATTAAGATAACAAGATAATCACAGCCACAGACATGATCACATGAGAGCTGTCCAGGGAGCAGTGATGCCTCTCGTGCTGGGAGCTGGGCTGAGCTGGTCGGAGCTGGTCCCTCTGTTGTCCCTCTCTCAATGAGACACAAGGAGCAGGTTCCAGAGAGAGAGAAGCTGATGAATCTGCCTGAGTGCTTTACCCTGCCACTAGCCATGGACTCACTCCCCACTGTAGAGTGCATTTGATTTAAAAAACAGAAGAATTCCTTTCATGGGAAGAATGTTGATAGGATCTTTGAAATGCATCTTTTATTCTTACTTGTGTTGTTAAAATAACTCCTATTCTGTTGGTATTTGAGAAACTGGGTGGTCAGTCACATTTTAATGTGCAAAGTAATGCAAAGGACTGGTCAATCTTCGTCCTGTATTGCACAAAACAGGAAGGTCTCCAGTGGTTTGTAAGCAACCACTTTAAATTATGCTAAGTTTTCAAAGATGATTTGCATTGGTAAGAATGTTAAAGCTCAAAGCTCAGAACAAGATGAAAGATCTGGTTCCTAATGTTTTTCCCACCCCCCACCCCCTTTTTTTTGGTTGCTTCTCTGATGACTTAGCCTTCATTTGCAATTCATGTGGTGCACAAACTGACTCACTGTGCAGTGTTGCCTCATAAGCACTAAAGCATTTCTTGACCATGAATTTAAAAAAAAAAAAAAAAAGGCGGCAGCAGCTAACTAATCTTGAATGAGAATGCGTTTTGCACACAAATGTGATTACTTCTTCACCAAAGTGTATGAATTATATTTCGAGGGAATACCGTTTCTTCCCAGGAAAGGAATTTTTCCAAGCAATGTCTTTGACAGATTACTGAACTCTAAATATTGTTGCAGGGAATATAGAAAAGAAATGACTTGATGGAGACAGGTTCTCCTTTAATGTGCACTGGTGGGTTACTGTCTCTGCCATCCTATTTATAGCCTGTGGACCTGGCATGGGGCCAACTGCAAAGAAAATACGCGATCCTTCCTTAATCATGTTTGTATATCTGAGACAGAAAGTAATCATGGCCTTCTTCTTTCTGTACAGAAATATCTGGCAGATGGTGGTTGGGGATTTTCAGGCTTTGGGATTTCTTTTTAAATCAGTCATCCTAAGCTTGCTCGCTCTCTCGCGCGCGCTCTCTCTCTCTCTCTGTCTCCCCCTCTCAAACCATGCCTTTCTCTGTACTGACACCACAGATTCAATCTGCAGTTGGAAAGAAAACGTTCAATCTATTAATTCACCTTTTAGAAACATCTTTCCTGGGTGACAGTAGCACATGAGCATGGCTCTGTTTCCTATTACTTATTGTTGCCTTATTTTGCTCACTAGTTTGCAGCCTACATCCGGGCAGCTGTCCGAAAAGAAAAAGGGCTCCCCATCCTTGTGGAACTCCTGCGGATGGATAACGATAGGGTTGTTTCTTCTGTGGCAACTGCCTTGAGGAATATGGCGCTGGACGTTCGCAACAAGGAGCTCATAGGTATGTTTTAGTGAGCAGTCAGTTAGCTCGTTCACAGTATTTATAAGACTCTAATTTTGATTAATAAATATATGGCACTTGACCTTCTTCCTAACTGAGCACAAGTCCTTGGTTTGCTGGCATGTTTGGATACCCCTGCCCTTCAACCATTCTCTTCCAGCCAGAGTGCCCGTTACCTGGACACTGCTGGGAGAAGGTAAGTTTCCAGCATTTAGTGTTACGTGGAAACAATATTTGATAGATTTGCTATCTGTTTTTCTCAAAAGTCTATTTTCTGAGCAATAATTTTATTTTTTAATTCTCCCTTTTTCAATCTTTGGACTGATATCTGCTAATTCACCAACATTACATTGTCCTCAATAATGGAAGAAACCATATAAATGTTTTGAAGAATTTCCCTCTCAGGTCTGCAGGGCAGAACTAGTAAGCCATCACTCTTGGGTTCATACAAGGGTAGGACACGCATGACCCCAAGCATGAGTGCCTCCATAAATGGGCTCCCTAAGCAGCTTGCTTGTCCCCAAGGCATTGCCATGTGCCAGGCAGGGTCTGGGGTTAAGCAAAGATCAGTGGCCATCCACAGATCATGCTGGGTCTGCTGCTTCCTGGCTGTGTGAGCCAAGGTGTCCTGTCTCACCCCACCTGGGCTCCATTCTTCATCAGCCCTACCTGCAAAGGGAGCACACGATGTCTGCTGTCCTCATGCCGGTGCGCTGAAGTGATGACATGAGGGAGGGTATGAGGACAGCAAGCCCCACACGGGTCACACAGCTGGGACAGGGCAGGGTTGCGGAGGAGAATGGGGCAAGTTCTTACGTGAATGCATGGGACTCTGTGTTGGATTTATGGCTACCATGAGGGAGGGAGGGAGGGGGGGAGAGAGGACAAGCACAGTAATGTTTACCATAAAGAGTTGCTGCAAGGATTGTGGCAACCTACAGTGAAATCCTTCACACGGTGCCTGACAAAATTTTTTTTTTAATTACTGCCTGGATTAATATGCTGTTAACACACTATTCCTCTGAGCCCAGTCATCTCCATGGAGAGAAAGGGTGGGCCCTCCAGGCCCTGCTCATGGGCCAGCTGGTGCCTGATGCCATCGAGCATATAACTCTTGATTCCCACACTTCTTAAGAGAAAGCTTTTAGGCCCCATAAAAGAGATTTGTTTTAATTGTATAAGTTCTTTTTGTCATGTCTAAATTGTTTGGGTTTCTTATATGAGGGTACTTAAGGAAGCAAATGGAAAATGGAATTAAAAGATGTTGAATTTGGTGCAAAACATTCTGAAATCCATGCATAGTTTTTCCATAATACACATTTTCCATGAACTTGGTCAAGTATCCTCGTAAGAGACCTGTATAAGTTGGGAGTCGATGCTAAAGAGGAAAGGGTCAACACATACACCTCATGGCCCGGGACCCTCGATGCCTGGAGAAGACCCAGGTGGCCCAGGAGGCATGGGCCAGGCGTGCTGAGGGCCAGGTCGTCTGGGAAGGACAGTGTGTCTTCAGTCCTGCCTCCTCCCAGGTGTCCCTGTTTTTTTTTTTACAGTCTCAGATCTCCAGGGCGGAGCACTTTTTTGCCCAGCTGGAGCACTCTGAACGCTCTTCCTTGAACTACTTTTCTTGTCTCCCTATGAAGGTTCCTTCCTTCCTGTAAGACTTGAGCTCTCCCAGAGTCGGGATTTGGCTCCACCTCCTCTGCTCCTGGGATCCATGCCCACCTCTGACCCCTTCACTCTCTCCTGCCCTCCCCAGCACCAGCAGTGGGCTTTCTTTGCAGAGCCATTTTTCACAGAGAAAGTTGCGTCACTTCACACTCCACTGAGCTCCTGAGGGGCCCTGGAGCCTCCCTCGCACACAGGTGGAACGAGCTGCCTCAGCCCAGGCCCCAGGAGTGCACTTCAAAGTCGTGCCTCGGCGAAATGACAAATTACATGTCCTGCACCTTTTGGTCATCCGTGTGTATTCAAAGTCACCAGTGCTAACTTATCATCTGCTCTCAAACACCACATTTATCTTCTGGGCTTCTTATGTCATCAGTGTTTTTCCATCCTTGGTAGCAGAGTTGGTTGTAAGGAAGCCAGAGCCTTCCCTTTGATGTACTGGAAATTATGCAGTGTGGAATTAGGGCTGTCTCTGTCTGCTTACCATTGTATATAAACAGATCTTTAATAAAAACTCACTTAGCATCCGTTCAGTTATTAGATGGGGAAAAAAAATTTCAGAAAATATTTTGCTTGAGCTTTAGTTAATAGCTTTTGTTTGTACTGCACTTATTCCAGTTTGTTGGTTGGCAATTGAAATTGGAAAAGCTAATCTTTTAGGAGAAGAAGTTGAGAAATTCAGTATCTATAAAGAAATGCTTCAGTTGCTGTGAGACTCCCTAGCCTTGTCTTATCACGAACTTTATTATCATTGCACTACCCCTAGGAGATAAAATACCTGTAGTGTTAATGGCAAAATTTTACCTGTACCTTCTTTTAAGGAAGCTAACATGTTGCAGCTGATTTCAGATCAGCTGATGCACACCTTCCTCTTGATGACAATATGTTCACTGTACCCAGTTCCCACATTAAGATCCAGAAGATTAATGAAAAGTGCCATTGGTCAGACTTACTTAGACCAGATTCAAAGCTAAGTTTTTAAAGGCTTTAAGAGAAAATTGAGGGCCAGCACTGTGGCACAGTGGGTTAACCTGCCACCTGCAATGCCAGCATCACGTGTGAATACCACTTCAAGGCCCAGCTGTTCCACCTCTGATCCAGCTGCCTGCCAGTGCACCAGGGAAGGCAGCAGAAAATGAGCCAAGTGCTTGGACCCCTGCCACGACCATGGGGGACCCAGATGGAGTTTCTGGTTCCTGGCTTCAGCCTGGCCCAGCCCTGGCCATGTGGCCATTTTGGGAGTGAACCAGCAGATGTTTCTTCCTGTCTCACTGTAACTCTGCCTTTCAAATAAATCTTTTTTTAAAAGAGAAACAACTGAGGTCCTTTTGATGCATTGGAAATCAGTCAAGAATAAAATTTACCATTGTAATTACTTCATTACTCACTGTTATTGAAAACAGTGGATCTAAACAATACACTAAGTCTACCCAGTCTTATGCCTGGATTTAATGTTATCTCAGCGATTCACAGTAATGTTTTATAAACCAATCTATCAACTCTTCAAGTGACACTGTAGTAAATGTTAGCTCCCCTTACAAACGTCCTTTTTTTTTTTTTTTTCCTTTTTTTCCTGCTCTCGTCTCTTTGGAGGTGTTGTTTTTGAGACTGCACCCTGTCCGAGTCTTTCCACAACAGCAATAGCAAACACCCACTACCTTCTGAAAGTCGAAGTAACCCTTTTGCATTGGGCAGGGAAGTACGCCATGCGAGACCTGGTCAACCGGCTCCCCGGTGGCAACGGCCCGAGCATCCTGTCTGACGAGACCACGGCAGCCATCTGCTGTGCCCTGCACGAGGTCACGAGCAAGAACATGGAGAACGCCAAGGCCCTGGCCGACTCGGGAGGCATCGAGAAGCTGGTGAACATCACCAAAGGCAGAGGAGACAGGCAAGTCTGCGGCGAGGGTCCCCAGATGGCTGTGCAGGGGCACATTTCTTCCTGGAAGGGATTTGCTTCTGCATCTCCTGCCTCCTGGTAGTGAAGCAGCCTCCAGCAGTTAGAACCTGGTGTGCCAGCAGAGGCGTCTTCTGTCATGTGGTCTTTCCCCTAGCCATTTCCTCTGCTGTCACATCTCCCACCCCTACAGTGAATTCTGTCTCTCTCTGTTTGGGCTGCTCTAGCAACATATCATGAATGGAGTGACTTAATAAATGAAGTTTATTTCTTACGGTTCTGGAGGCTGGGGTGCATAAGCTTGGTGCCACCAGACTCAGTGTCCAGAGAGGTGTCCATCTGGTTCGGGGGTAGTGCCTCCCAGCAGCATTGCGTGGTGAAAGGGCGCTAATCCCACTCCCAGGGCCCCTTCTCTATTGACCTGATCACCTGCCAAAGGCCCCGCCTACAAACCCATCATGATGGGCTAGGATTTCAGAATCTGGGAGAGGCACATTCAGACCATAGAAGCTATACAGCCAGCTCCTAGAATAACTGGAATCGGTGGATGAGGAACATGTTGAGCCACCATCTCCCTTCTGCCCTGGGCCCCACCCCAAGCCCCAGAGCCTGTTCTGCAGAACACCTTGTGTCTTCAGTTCTAGAAGTTCTGCTGCTGGCTGTCCAGAAAGTATGAAAATCTCCACTCTGTCAGCTGCTGTGTGGCCGCAGGATGTGCCCTGGGCTTGGATCACAACTTCTGTTTGCTCCGGATGACAGTAACTAATAAAGCAGCAGAAGTAGGAATTTTGGGGTTTTTGTCACGATCTATGGCAGAGACTCTAAATGTGCCTTAATATCAGGTCAGAGAAAGGGTTAATGAGGGTGCTTAGTAGCTTCTCAGGACAGCAGGATAGCAGCGCCTCTCTCCCTGCTCTCCACCCCTTATGCTGCATTATTCCCTTCACAGCCCTGATTGGCCCGATGTACTATTGATTCGTCCCTCTGGTTTCTGACCCTCTGCCTGTGGGGAGCTTGTCTTGGTCTTCACTGCTGCACCCAGAGTACTCAGAACAGAACCTGGCTCACAATCAGCATGCAGGGAATGTTTATTATTTAGGGTAATTACGGTGCAAGAACTCCCATTTCTCATTTAGTCTTTTAGTTTATAATTTTGAAGAAATTTCCAAGACATAAGAAAAATCTAGCAAACCACATTGTCATCCCCAGAAACCAAACCCGTCAATATTACCAATATTTCCTTTTAATCCTTTTATCTTGTGCATCTTTTTAATTTCCTTAGTAGCAACTACATACAATCTGCTTTTAATTTTGAAGGAAATGAAACTGGTAAAACTAAGTTCTCATTCCACCAGCTCCCCTCTATCTCCCAAGGTACCCATTATCACCTTGTATGCACTTAAAATTTCTTGAGGTCCTTTTCACTGGTGAAAGGCATGAGAAGAAGCTGGGGAAATGCATATTATAAAATATTATTACCTAGCCTAATTTTGTTTTTCATAAATCGGGTTATCTTCTGACTCTGCACCTGTAACTTCTCTCATGCTCTTCCCCTGCCTGCAATGTGCCAGCCACTTAGAGAACTGAGCGCATGGCACAGCCACCACACAGGTAGCTCACAGTCCGCAGCCAGCTACACAGGGTACCCGGTGAACAGGAACACACAGAAGGTGGTAGATGGCTGAGGCCACCACCCGGGGAAGCGGGTGGGACAGGCCAGGAAGGCCTCAGAGAGAGGAGAGGGCAGGCAGGGATGCAGCTCTCAGGGGAAGAGCATCTCAGGCAGAGGGGAGGGCACCCGAGAGGGCCTTGAGATAGAAGAAGAACTTGTGAGTTTGATAAATAGCAAAGGAGCTTGTGGAAGCGGAAAAGGGTGAGGGAGACGAGGGCAGGAGGGGGAGGAGAAAATGGGACTAGAAGTGTGGGCCCTGTGGGCTGAGTGTGAGGACTCTGTCCTAAATCTGGGAAACACTGGAAGCCACTGGAGAGTGTGCCATGGAGAAGTGACACTGCCTGGTTTCCCTTTTAAAGGGATCAGAGTGACTGATCCCCCAGCTCAGGTGGACACACGGGTCAGAGCGGTTGAGATGACGAAGGAGTCAACCCCTACATGGTTAAAAGGCGGATTTAACAGACTCCACTGGTAGGTTAGATGAGTGTCATAAGAAGAGGAAGATGTTGTGGATGACTGCAAGGTCTATGGCAAAAGAGACCCCAGGCTGGAACTGCGCTAACCAACGTGGGGACCCTTGCAGGAGAAGCAGGCTTCTAGGAAAGACCCAGAGTGTCTGGGAAACCCAAATATGGAGAGTGCAGGCAGCAACAGAACACGTGGGCCGATTTCAGCGTGGAGTCTACGGCTGGAAATGTGAATATGGAGGTCACAGGGTGTAAATGATCTGGGCAGAGAAATGAAATTGATGAGATCACCAGAGAAGTCACAGAGGTAGAGAGGGAATTGAAGGCTGATATCCTTCATACTGCAAGGTTAAGGACAGAACCTTAGGAGCCCAAGAAAGAGCAGCCAGAGCCGACGAAACAGCACTGTGAGGTGTCTTGAAGCCAAGAAAGGATGAGTTACAAAGGTGAGCAGGTGTCAAATGCTCCTGCTCAGTCGGGTGGGCGGGGTTCGAGGCGTGAGCAGTGGATGTAGCAATATGGAGGTCATGAGTCAAAGACCAGGTTGGGTGAGAGAATTTGGAGATGCAAATGCAGAACTCCTTCTAGGAGCTGTGCTTCAAGGAACCTCCTTGCTCTTCTCAGGTTTCTGATCACAGAATTTGCACCTGAAAATATACAGCCTGTTTGTATCTAGGCATATTCAGGCACACCCTCAGGGGCAGCGGTGAGCTCTGCCTTTCATGCCTCTGTCCTGGGTCTTGTCATAAACAGCAACAATGGCTTGTGCCAACTGAGAACGAGATGCTGTGACCTACGGCCCTTGCTCCCCCAAATCTGTCTTCCAGAGGCCACCTGAGGTGCCTGACATTTCATCTCTGTTCATTTATTGAGGAACTGAGGCATTGCATTGGTCTGGGGCCCATTTGGGAGGTATCACGTTTGGAAGGGCTTTCAGTAGATCGATTTCACCTGGTTCTGATATTGCCTGGTCAGGACACTCAGAGGTATGCTGTGGCTGGGAGGAGCCAGGGGTGGATGCAGAACTGCCCCCACCCCACCCAGAAACAGAGCACAGAGCGTGTGAAACCCCTGAGCGGGCCTAGTCAGCCCCACCCAGCCCCTGGAATCAGTAGCAATCCGTATTCCATTGTTAGGAACAGATGATGTGCAGCCTGGCACTTGCCCATCTCCCCTTCCCCACACTGTAATTGGGAAGAAAAGGCATGGAAGAAGAAATCAGACCTTAGATCTGGTAGAGGTAACTAAAGAGCTTATGGAAAAGAGGAGCTCATTTTGATGTAAAAAAATGTAAAAAGAAATTTATTTTCATAATATGTGGAAATTGTATTTTATGAAGACTGTGCTAAAATCTCGAATGGAAGCAGTTTCGACAAGCTGGCACTGCCGTCCCCCTGAGAAGCCACCTCCTGCTGGAATGCTGTCTTGACTCCCTTTCCCAGTGATGCTCCTTTTCAGCATGAAGCAGCCAGAGAGACCATCGCTCAGTCCCCCTAACAGATGTTAGGGTCCGTTCTTGAAGGGGCAATAGGCAGTCAGGGTGGCCCCAGTGGAAATTTAGGGTGTTAAGTGCTTGCTTTCCCCTAAAAGTTATCCTTAGCAAGATCAGAAGTGCCTGCCTGCCCACTCATTGGGAGCTTCCAACTTTACCATGAGAATGGCAAAGGAGTGGTCATTCTGTTCTCCTGAGTTCACAGTTTATTGTGAAAACAAGTTACCTATACTACCCTTTTAGACAGTTTTTTGTTTTATCATGAGCAAGCCAGATAGGATAAAGGATTGTAAGTCAAGTCTTTTGATGCGTTTTGCCCCTGCCTTATAACTGAATGTCAATCAAAAATGTGCTTAAAAACTCGACTGCCAGGGACCACTTTGGTATTTTCCTCTCTTGGAAGCCCGCCTCCATGGCTGGAGGTCTCTGACTCTAATAAATCTTGCATTTTAAAAGAAAAAGTGTGCATTTTGTCCTGGAGCTTGCTGGACTGCCCAGCCCACCTGACTCCAGGGTGGCGTTTGCCAGCAGCAGCGTCCACTCCCAGGGTCCTGAGAGTCACGGCCTGTTGGAGGCTGCTGCATCACAGTGGAGCCCTAGGCCGTTTCTCCCCCAGTCACTAACCTCCCTGCTCTCTCCCTAGGTCTTCTCTGAAAGTGGTGAAGGCAGCAGCCCAGGTCTTGAATACCTTGTGGCAGTATCGGGACCTCAGGAGCATTTATAAGAAGGTAACTCAGAAGAAAAGCTCAGCGTAATTCACATGCATGTATTGTAATGAAAGTCATTATTCATTTTGAAAGGTTTCTTCTTCTCTTTTAACTCCACAGGATGGGTGGAATCAAAACCATTTTATTACACCTGTGTCGACATTAGAGCGCGATCGCTTCAAATCACATCCTTCCTTGTCTACGACCAACCAACAGATGTCCCCCATCATTCAGTCAGGTCAGTGGGTGAGGCCTCTCGCTTCCAAGATCACTGGCATGGCAGCACGGTGTTTCCTGGCCAGACAGGCTCCTTAGACCTGTCGCCTCCAACACTGCCCTCTAGCTGAGAGCTTTCTCTGAGAATTGCACGCTGTTGTAAAGAGCAAACCCACTTTCTTCTTGGTATTTTAAAAGCTTTCGCAAGTATGCATCAGCTACAATACCTGAAAGTGTCCCGGGGCCTGCCGTCCCCCGAGTCTGCTTCACAACTGTGAGAACCTGTGGGAGGCAGGCTGCACAAGTAATCCAGGTGTAGGGGCATGGAGGACCAGGCTGAGACACGTGGCTTCTGCCAGAAAACGGCTGGCCTGTCGCCTGCTGGCCCCAAGAGTGGGATCCCCTCCAAAATGATTTCTCTTTCTTGGTGAAACTTCTTAGAAATTGGGTCCTTTAAGAAGACCCTTGACCCACAACCTGGGAGTGCCCCCTCCTTTCCAGGGAAATCTGCTTATACCCTGGCTGTATTCCAGCCTCTCAGCACCTACAGCTGAGGCGAACAGGCCTCACAGGGCACATTTAGAAGAATCCCCTTTGGTTTTTAGATTGGAAATCTTGGCAGCCATGCCTCCTACCTGTTTGTGGTGTTTACCTTGGGGAAGGAATATTTTAGGTTGAGACTAAATTTATTTACATGTAAGCCAAGTCCTGTAAATTTAAGAATTTAATTCTTAACTAAATGTGACAGGAAAAGGAATAAATATCTTTTTCTTGGGCTTTCAATCACCCATGCTGACGTATAAATATTATCTGTTGTATCCAATTGTGCTGCGGCTGGTGGTCTTATTTCTCCTGTGAACGTATGTGGCCACAAAGCTAATCTATGACCAGTGACTCTTTCCACATAATTGGATGTTCCCATTTGTACTGGGAATTTCTTTCAGTCAGCTGTGCCTACTGTGTGTGATGTATATTTTCCTCTTAGTGCTAAAATTAGGAATTGTTTTTTTCAAGGAGACTTGGGCCTGGTTTTCAGCATCCTCGCTGAGCCTAAGGCTGTTGTCTTTTGTAAAAGTACCCAGAATCCTTTAGGGACTTAGGAATAGAGATTCCAGGAGAACCAGGAGAGCTGACTGCTTAACAGAAGGCACCTGTGCAAGCAAGGAATAATTTCAGACAGATGAGCACTGAGACACTAACCACTGCACTGGTTTTAAAGTCCTCTTAAATGGGCACGAGGAGCCATGTTGAGTAGCCCCATCCAAGGTCCCGGTACCCTTTGAGGTTCTGTTCAGGGGCAGGGCGTATTCCCGTCTCATCTCTCCAGGTATTCAGAGTGCTCATCACGACTCCCTTAGCACTGGCATGGGTCTGCTCAGGGACATGTTTGATGCTAACTTCATGGGAAGAGGCAGCTGGGGGTTTTCTGTCTTGTAAATACTGAGCAAGATGAGTAGCACTTAGACACTGCCCACGCATGTGTACTGCTGTCTTAACACAGAGCAACCCTAGGCCAGTGAGATGGCTGTTTGGGGGATATGTATCCATGAAAGGCTTCCTCATGATGCCTGCAAACCTGCTGTTGTCAAGGTTTGGGGGCTGTTGCTGTCAGGTGCATCAAGTGAATAAGTGGCCACTCTTACTTGTGATTAACTTTAGTGCAAGCAAGAAGGGTTTTTAATGAGGGAAAGAAAAAAATCATTGTTTCTCCTTTCCTCCTGTGCAAAAATGTCTAAAATGAGCTCTGTGGATAGATGTGTTATTATTAGATACTTGGCCCAAGCAGGGATAAAAAGTCCTTGGGGCCTTTATGAGACCAGGGCTTAGCACCATGAGCCTGTGGCTGAGCCAGGCTTATGGGGTTTACATAATTTCCCTGACAGCAGATCACCATCAAAAGAATGATAAACTTTATGACTGGGCACTCTCATCCAAACACATTTGGAGTCGCAGATATTTTTTAAATAATTGGAAATCAAAGCATGCCATAAACTTCTGTTTCCTGACGAGCTGTATGTAGAGGAAAGTGTTTTAGAAGCAGCTGAGCCGAGATGGTAAAGCAGCAGACTGGCGAGGCTAGTAAGTTACTGTCAGTCAGTTACCAAGTTGCTGAGGCCCACTCAGTGCAGGTGGGACACCTTCGTGCCTTTGTGCCCTGCAGGCTGCGAGTGAGCCCCAAGGAGTCCCGGCTGCTGCATGCCCAGTGCTGGGGCTCAGGGCCTGACTTTGGCTCCTCATGCAGCACTTGTGTGAGCCAACCTCCAGCACTTGTCTGTTCTAACCACTGACCTTTGCTTTTCCGGAAGGATCTTTCCAGAGACACTGACAGTCTGATTTCTCTCCCTTCCCCTCTTTCTCTCTCCCTCTTCCTTTTGCCTCTCCCCTCAGTTGGCAGCACCTCTTCCTCACCAGCACTGTTAGGCATCAGAGACCCTCGCTCTGAATACGATAGGACCCAGCCACCTATGCAGTATTACAATAGCCAAGGGGACGCCACACACAAAGGCCTGTACCCTGGTAAGATGCCAGTCGGGTGTGTGATGTGGAGTCTCAAGAGGCCGTGTTGCCAGGCCCTGGGGCGGTGGCCTGGGTAGTAGCCGGGGCCCAGGTGGAGACGGTCCCCCAGCAGCAAACACATTCCAGTGTGTCTCCCTTTGCTGCCCCAGAGATGGTTGCCTTTTCTGCTTGTTGTAAGTAAAACAAGCCAGTGTGGCTGTACGGGACTGAGCAGTCCTTGTAGGCAACCAGGCAGCCTCCATGCCTCCCACGGCCGCAGGGCCCAGCACTCCGTGGGGCTTCCCCGCTTGCTTCATCTCGGTACCTCAAACCAAAGGAGCGAGTCCGTCTCCTTTACAGTTTCATGAAAAAGGAGTTTGGGTGAACAGCAAACTGTGTAATGTGATTCTCCTCAGAGTGATTATTTTCTCAGACTAACAAAATAACATTACGTCGGGCGAACCGTGTTCTGTTCTGCTCAGAAAGCTGTGCATCTAATTTACGTTCAGGATGCCGGCCTGAAGGGTAACCAGGATTGCATGTTGTTCTCATTCTCTACTGTCTTTCAAATATGTCGGTGTGAGCCTGCAAAAAAAAAAAGAAAACAAAACACAGCACTCTGTTCTCAAAAAGCCTCTTTATTAAAAAGAAATAAATAAAAGCTGGTGGCAACTTAACTACTGCTGGGGGAGCAGTCCCAGTTGTGCTATTGGCTTTGAAATTGTGATTTCACAGGACTGTTTACTAATCGACTGTTGTTACCATGGCAATTAATAGCTCAGACCATTGCAGATGCTGCATCTCAAACCGCAAGTTCTGTGCAGACGGAGGCACGCAGCCCGCTGAAATGCCTGCCTGCTCCGAGTGTGTAGCAGCCCGCCTGGTTTGAAAGGTCCCCTCTTTCGCATGCACACCCTTCTGTAGCTTCTGTGCCTGCTTCAGTAAACTGGTTTGCCTCAAGTATGCTTCATGTTCCTCATTGAAAGCAATAAAAATCTTCGCTAGCCTCAACAGTCATGGAAGAGTAACAGATGACATCATCCTCAGGAGTCTGCTACGGACTCTTGAAGACGATGACCTGACACCACGCTCTCCTTTAGAACCTACTGAAGTATGGCAGACACAAGCCAGTGCCTGCTATGGCCCAGTGGCTTAGGACATGCCTGCACCTGCTTTTCCCAGGCCCTGGGATTTTGAATCACAGCTGTGTTGAAGGCATGGGGCTGGTGCTAGTGCCATGTTGCCCTTCTCTCTGACCCTCCACTGCCACTCAGAGCCATGAAAAAAGTGACGTTGCTCAGCTCAAGGAGCCGTGCTCCTGTGCACAGCAAGCCAGAGGAATCCTCGCACATGTGAGCAGCGCTTGAGAAAGATTGGTTTTTGGATGGGCTCTGCATTGCCATTGCTTTTTGATGAAACACACCCAGGGCCTAGTTTTGCTGTGAGCCTCCGGCCTCTCCCAGCTCTGGGATAAGCAGCAGCCAGGTCAGACCCAAGCACCCAGACTGTTGCCTGTCCCAGTCTGCGCTGGCACAGGGAAGCAGGCCCTGTCAGGGACAGGGGAGACCACCCAGCCTGATGGACCAGAGTAATGAGCACTAGTTTTAATTGCATAAAATATTTTCTTACAGGCTCCAGCAAACCTTCACCAATTTACATCAGTTCCTATTCCTCACCAGCAAGAGAACAAAATAGACGGCTACAGGTGAATTTGCAATACCATTTTTTTCAGCAGGCTGATTAGCAGTAACACAGTAAGGGGGCCAGTGCGATTGACTTCCCAGAGCTGCACCAACACCGCTGGGCCCAAGGAGCTTTCCCTGGGGATCCTCACGCCTGGGAAACTCGCAAAGCATGGTGTGGTCTTAAAAATCCACATCAGTACTGCTGGTGGGAGCAGCTGAGAAGTCCCAAGCTCGTGTTCTTTGCCCAACATTTTCCTTCCCCTCCCTCTTTTTTTCTGTTGAGCTCTAAGATCTCTTCCATCCTCTGGGTGAGGAAGGATTGGTAAGCACAATTCACTGTCTCATCTCATTGGTCCCTTTTTGTGTGACTCATTCTCCACCTCCATGACTCCCTCCCTCCCCATCCAAGCTCCACGATTTAAAGACCCTGGGTCCTCGACCCAGTCTGTTGGTCTTGGAGCTCAGAGTGCTCTGAGCCCCTGCCGGGGAGGAACCTACAGTAATGAGCAGGAGGTGTGGTTGTGACACACTCGGGCTCTGCTTTCAGGAGGGTCTCTCATCTCTCTTCCCACCTTCCAGCAACAGAGCAATTGGAGTTTCCCGCCTTGTCCTTCAGACAAGGATGCGCTAAGACCCTTCTCCATTCAGTCATCTTTGCTATCTACGTGGGGAAGACACAACTTTCCAAGCAATGTATGCTACGCTTCTTTAGTCAGGAACAATGACCTCAGAATCATAATGTGTCTAGTTCCAGAACATGAAGTTGATACCCATGTGATAAATTTGTTACGTCTTACTGAGTGGGGGATGTGGGCATGACCACAAAGACAGACATGATTTGAGGGCAGCCCAAAGGGAAATGGGGAGCATATGCCCTATGTGGGCCCTCATGCACTTGGCCTTGCTTCCATGCATGTGGATTTGTTAGCCCTGGCCCAGAGAAGTTTTCCCCTCCACACTGGCATTTGCTCACATGTCTCCTGCCTTGAGATTGTTTATCCCTTTAATATACAGCTGTACAGCTTAGAGCAGAGTTTCCAAAGGGTGGCTGTTATACACTAAACCACTTCTGTGTATTAAATTTGAAGGATGAACTCACGTTCATCTCTAAGGTAAACATTTTAAAAAACTGGTCTACAATTATCCAAGGCTCAAAAATCCAGCCTCCACCTAAATTCACAATGCACTACAGGTTCCCTGCGTCACAGGCATCCTGTTTGGCCTGCCAGGTAACATGTCTCTCCACAGCAGGGAGCAGAGCAAGGCCTCCCCTAGGGAGAGCAGGTGGCCAGGACTCGTCCTACACCCCCTGCCCCGGATCTCAGGCCTTTCCAAGCACAGCTTTCCACAGAGGCTGGGGGACAGGACTTGAGCAAACTCAGCCAGCCTGCCTGTAAAGGTCGTTTCAGAGCCTTGCAGCCCACTAGTAAACATGCAACATGTACCCCACACAACTTCTAACCCTACATCGGCACATTCTGAATAGTGCTTTGAAAATAGGGAGAAGCCCATGTTAATTAGCCTGAAGTATGTATTCCTTTAAATGGCTTTTATTTATTTGCCTTTTCATTTTGTCAACAGCATCAACAGCTGTATTATAGCCAAGATGACTCCAACAGAAAGAACTTTGATGCATACAGGTTGTATTTGCAATCTCCTCATAGCTATGAAGACCCTTATTTTGATGACCGAGTTCACTTTCCAGCTTCTACTGATTACTCGACACAGTATGGACTGAAATCGACCACAAATTACGTAGACTTTTACTCCACTAAACGACCCTCTTACAGAGCAGAACAGTACCCAGGCTCCCCGGACTCGTGGGTGTAGCATTGAGACGCTCGGCAGAGGAACTCTTTCTTTCTAACCTTGCTTGGATTGAGGTGAGAAGTCCGCCTTGCTGATGTGATGATGAAATGTGAAAGTGAAATGGAAGGAATGAGTGAAGAGCATATTTTTTTTTTCTTTTCTGAGGAATTATCAGGGAAGTGAGGATACCTTTGGGAGAGGACTTTCTAAACTCTATTTAGGTGTTAGGTCTAATCACTTATAGATTATGTAGTCTGGTGAAGGTGTGGGTGATGTGATGAGAGGTTTGAGAAGTGGATGAAATGAGATGGGGTTGTGTAGGTCATATCAAATTAAAGATGATTTTTTTAATGTGAATAAAGTTATGTTCTGATAGTTTGTACAGAAAATATAAAATGGATGCCCTTCATGTTTTATTGCTATTACTAAATGTCAAGATTGTATGCTATTATGTCTTGTAAATTTCCTTTGTTGGTGTAAATATGGAAATGCCACATTGGTTAAGTGCCATCATTTGTAATGCAGTGTGTCATTTGAAAAGAGATTTGAAGAAACTGACTGCTTAAAAATCAAAGGGGAAGCCCAAAGAACTGTTAGCACTTCCAGCGCGACATCCTTTGTCTTCACCACAAGTAGTGTATTTGGAAGCACAAGGTCCAGTCTGGTACAGCAGCGCCACGCCCATTCCCTGCCTCTTTCATAGGACACTTCACTGCCATTTTCTATGCACATGAAAGAAAAATAAATGTGGAACTTTCATCCTTGGAAATGTGTTCCCGTTCTTTATTTTCTGGATGTAATATGGAAAACAGATTTAATAAAAACAAATGTAATTCATGCTGGAAGTAGCTTACATAAATCCAACTATTTTGGACTTTTGCTAGTTTTATACAATTAGCACACTGTGAGATGGATTGCATCAAAGAACAAAGCTATGAACTGTCCTCCTCCACATCTAAACATTTTTGTTTTCAGAGCTCTATTTTGAATCTAGTGTGCTCTACTGTTTTACCATGTTTTGTGTGTGTGTGTGTGTTTTTCCAGAATGCTATATGTATTTGACAATACTTTTCACCCAAGAGAAATTCTATCTGGCAGCCTGGCCATAACTAAATTGGCAGGCTCCTTTTGGCATTATTTTTTAAGAACTCAATAATTACATAAGAACAGTGGTTGGGCATTTACTTGATTGGCTCTGATGGAGTAAGCCAAACCAATTCTGCCTGATTACTTTGCTGAGTAATTCCATGAGACCCAGCAATTCCTGCCTGGATCAGGGACACAGTAAGCAGGGGTCCCAGTTGCACCCCACAGCATTTCTTGTAACTACTGCTCATCAGTGGAGACAGTGAGGACCACCAGCCCAGGAGGCCCAAGCCTGAGGTCTTCCCAGGCCTTGTAGTTCCCACCATTGAGCCCTGGCTCTTGGATCCTACTCAACAAGCCAGGAAATGACCCATATGGCAGATCAAACCCAGAAGCATGGACTTAGCATCTCCAACAAACATGATACAGATCACAGATTAAAATGCTTGTGAGAGTGTGGAAAGAAGCCCAAAAGAAAAGTGCATTCCCCTGCTGAATGGACAGCCGCCCAAGATTAGGATCCGAGATGACGTAGAAACATGAATATAAGCGGGAAGATGTCTCAGGTGTACAAATAGGGAGCCTTGCAGAGGTGCATGCTTTCTGAATGACCCCTGAGGCAGCCGGCAGGGTCAGGCTGCCTCCTCCCCTGGGCCATGGCTGCCTCCCGCTCTGGAGGGCTCAGGAAACACTGCTCTGGAGCTGCCGAGGACACCAGACTTTCTCGAGGAACCGGCATCAGGGCTTTGGAGATGGATCCATTTCAGCTTCAAATCATTGACTTCCCTGAGCCTGATAGTTCCCTGTCTGGGTTAAAGCTGAAAGGCCTCACTCAGAGTCAGGAACGCAAGGGAATCTGGAGCTGGCCTGATCTGACTAACTCCAGTAGTCTTGGCTTGTCTTAGGCCCCTACTTGTGGCAAGCAGCATTGCAAAACCTGATCCAAATTTGGGCTGCAATGATTGACTTCCATCAGACCTCTTACAAGAACCAGAAGGAGGCCTGTGGATGAGGACTGGGCAGATCTGAAGTCAGTTAGGCCCCTGGTGACCAGGAAAAAAGAAACCATAGCCAGAACCTGAATGACAGACAACTGACTGCATCACTGATGAAGAAACCAGCCTCACTTGCCTTCCAAGGTGTGGGTATAAACAGGCTCTGCTAAAACCAAATTGCTGTCTGTTGCTGCCCCAATGTCAGCAAGTACCATGCAGAATTCATTCCTCTGTGGTTCTGTGGAGCCTGGGCTCCAGCCACCTCCATCCTGATGTGGAAAGTCGGGGCTGAGTACAGCCAGTGTCAGTTGTCCCTGACTGCGGATGTTTGCACTGAAGTACCAGCATTTCACTGTACTGAGTGCCCACTTCCTTGAGTGCAAGAGTTACCACATAGACTGTCATTTAGCCTTTGCAGCAAGTTTATGAAATCTGTACAATAGCCCATTTTACAGCTCCTAAAGCAAACTCGGAGAATAACTTGCTAAAGGTCACAGTGATTGAGACTTACAGGTTAGCACTAGTCTCCAGTGCCAGTGTCTTCCAAAATCAGTCATCTGAGTTCCAACTGAACTGCTATTTACTACACACTTTTCATCAAGGTCTTAAGTTTGCCAAAGGAAATAATATCCATAATCGAAAGTGGAAAACCATCCTCAGCTGCACTAAGTGAAAAGTAACCATAGAATAAACATTGAACCATTACATATAAAAGTGTTCATCTGTCCCCAAAACTCATCTTGTCTATCACAACTGATAATTACAAGAACCTCGTTTTGGAAACCTGAGTCCTGACCATTCTGATAATGTGACATTTAGGTTAGGCTGCGAGGTCCCTTTAAAATAGAACTTTTTTAAATCTATTGGATGGTACTTTGGTTTCCATGATCAAACTGGATTACAGGGAGAAAACAGTTAAACACTTGGCCATTGCTCTTCACTTATTAAATTTTTTAAATAGCTTTGTTTATAGAAAAATTATTCATAATAGCTGAAAACTGGAAATAATCCAAACCGCTAACAGAAGAAAGGATAAACAAATTTAATCCAAGAATGGATAAGATTGTGGTATATTCATGTAGCTGAATACCAGCAGCACTAAAAAGGAGCCTCGGCTACAGGAACATGGAGGAATTTCCAAAACATGCTGCTCGAAAGAAAGAATTATACGCTGGGTGACTCTTTCAAGAAGAAAAATGCAGATCCATGGCTGCCAGTGGGGCTGGGTGACTATGAGAAAACTTTCCAGAGTAATAGAAATGTCCTATATCTTGATGGGGGGAAGGGTCGTGGTAGTTACACAGGTGTACACATTTAAAACACATCAAAATGTACATATAACATCTGCAGTTAGGGATTGGCATTGTGGTGTAGAAGTGTCAACATCCCATAAGGGTGCCTGTTCAAGTCCCAGCTGTTCCACTTCCAATCTAACTCTCTGCTAATGGGCCTGGGAAAGCAGTAGAAGTGGCCCAAGTGTTTGGGTCCCTGCACCCACATGGGAGACTGAAAGAAGCTCCTGGCTCTTGGCTTTGGCTTGGCCCACTCCTGGCCATTGCAGCCATTTGGGGAGTGAACCAGCAGATGAAAGATCTCTCTCTCTCTCTCTCTGCTCTCTCTGTATCTCTGCCTTTCAAATAAATAAATCTTAAAAAAAAAAAAAAGATTGCAGTTCATTGTATGCATAAATTGCCTCAGTAAAAAATAAATAACCCTTGCTTCATAAATCAGTAAAGAAATATATAATGGCATTGTCCAAGATTTAGTCTTATGACATAGAATCAAAGTTATAATTATTGGCATCCCTTGAGTGAGAAAAACCCAATTTATGTATTTCAAACATTAATAAAACATCCACTGAGACTGACTCCTCACCCACAAGATTTTAACACAAAATAAGCTAAAAGTTTTTCAAGGTAAGTTTGGAAACATATACTTTAAAAAGCACTTCTATGGAAGTGTCCTTTTAGACAGGCTGTGATGGACAGATTTATGTGTGTAATGACTAGAAAGTTAAGAAATAAGCTCATGCTCAAACCCATTGCCAAGAAAGAAGTGCGATGCTCCTGTTACCTAATAATCCAAAGGGATGTGCAGATAAACAGCTCACCCACCTCGGGGCTACCCAAGCTCCAGGGAAGAGAGTGGGGGCAAAGAGCCAGAGAGGTGCGAGCAGAAAAGCGACCAGGCCAGTGAAATTAGACGTGGGAGCACCAAGGAGTGTTCACTCTAAAAATTCAGGGTAGGCTGAATTCAAAGGCGAACCTTGCCCCAGGTCAAGGAAATCCGTGCTGGAGGGGAAGTGAACAGACTGAACTCAGAACATATAAATGCACAGGGTGCTAGGAGAGAGCACAGGCTACAGGCATTGTTTGGAATTCCCTAAGATGCTTCCACACTTCAAGTGCAGGGCCGGTACCAAGAGCTGGGCTGGGCAGCCGTGGGTTGTCCCCCATGCAGAGGAACACATCTCAGCTGGGACGTGTGCCTTTAGAAGGTCTTGGCTTAACTGTCCAGCCTTATTCACCCTTGTGCTGGCTGTTTGCTGTTCACCACGTGATGGCTGGACTCCACTCTGCATAAATACTCTTATTCAGGACAGTCCATGAAGGCTGCAGACACACACAAAAGAGATTACTAGCAAGCGAATTATGATTTGAGTTGTGTCTGCTCAACAGCTCTCCCCTGTCTTTATGTCAGCAGCTTCACTGGAAGCAGCTGGTATGTTCCCTAAGTGGCTGTTTGCTCCCATTGCTGTTGTCTCATTCTAACTTGAAATCACTAAAAAGCATTTTGTGCTGTCATAATCGTTTGCATGAGCCATAACCTGCTCTTTCATTATTAAAGCTCCATACAATGGTTGAAGGGATTTTGATAAAGACTTGATATGGTTAGGATATTTCACCCTCCATTCACATCCCTATGATTCCAATTAAACAATTTGTGCTGGGTCAAAGGTGTAATTCTGACGTCAGTGTGAAAGTGTCTAATTCTTCCTTCAGAAATCCCATGTAGCAGTTCACCTCGTCCCCAAAAGGCAATACCCTGCAATGTGCCTTTGTTTGCTGGCAGTGAAATGGAATGGAGTTGGCTTCCAATACCATCCACTGTGCACTAATTTAATCAAATGACTTCGGGGAGGATGAAACCTCTCCAAGTTCTCTCTTTAGGATTCTTCAGAGTCAGTGGCCTGCCCAGCCCAATCCTAGGGACCCCTCATTCATTCCCAGGGGGTGAGAATGAGTTCTGTGTGTGAAGTGTGCCCAACTACCTGGGGTCTGAAGGAAGGGGTTCAACCCAGATGGGCTCCAGGATCAACATGACAGTCATAGGGAAGGATATGGCCATTATAGAAAATGAAGAACACATTTCAAGTCTTCCCAAAAATATTTTATAAAGAAAAAGAGGCGGGGCCGGTGCTGTGGCACAGTGGGTTAACACCCTGGCCTGAAGTGCCGGCATCCCATGTGGGTGCCGGTTCTATTCCCAGCTGCTCCTCTTCCGATCCAGCTCTCTGCTTTGGTCTGGGAAAGCAGTGGAAGATGGCCCAAGTGCTTGGGCCCCTGTACCTGAGTGAGAGACCTGGAGGAAGCTCCTGGCTTCTGATCAGCGCAGCCCTGGCTGTTGTGTCCATTTGGGGAGTGAACAATCAGATGGAAGACCTCTCTCTCTTTCTCTCTCTCTCTCT